TTTCAATGCTGCAACATTCTTTTTACAACAAACACACAGCCACTTTTATTTGCACCTCCAACCTGTTTTATTTTATTTATTTATTTATTTATTTATTTATTTATTTATTTATTGGCTGCCTCACGGCGTGCAGGATCTTAGTTCCCTGACCAGGGATCAAACCCGTGACCCCTGCAGTGGAAGCACAGAGTCTTAACCACTGGACCCCTAGGAAGTCCCCTTCCAACCTGTTTTAAAAACACCATAGTTTTAAAATTAAATTTAAAATTCGTTTTCATTGTCAAATTTTCAGGAACTCCTTGAGATAACCAGAGACTATTTGCTTTATAACAGTCCCTCTCTATGAAGTACAGAGAACAATCACCAGAGGATGAGTTGGACCAAGGCTAAAGCTATAGGTAGTGAAACTGCGACTGGCATAAGGAGAGGGCTTGGAAGCTGGGGCTCAGAGGTTTCCCAGGTTCACCCTCGTGAATCTTCCTCCACAACTGCTCAGTTCTGTTATCCATTTCTTTAGTTTTTAAAAATAATACACAATGTTTTATGTGAATGCATATCTTACAAAATTTTGAAAAATGAGTTAATCAAGAGGGAATATAAGTACAGAAAAATTGGGACTAAGGTTGAGTTTAGCAACAAGAATGTTGAAGAAGGGGCCAAAATTTGGCTCTAGGCTCTCTGGAAGTCAAAATAAGGAGAAAGGTCTCTTTGTTTTATATGACTTACAGTGTCTGTAAGATCGCAACAACCCAGTTGCTCAAGAGAAGCCTGTTCCAGGAGGGGGCATTGTGTGATATCCAAGGAGCAGCTCCGTGACAGCAAGTTGTCCATCAGTCCCCATTTTATCATCAGCTGGGATGGAATTTCAGCAGGCTGTCCACCCTCTTACTCCGAGCTGTAAAAGGAACTTGGAGATTTGGTGGTTACCCCATGCCACCACCTCTCCCTCTCCCATCCTTTTTATTTTTACTTTTTGTCTACTTGCCTAGAATATTTTGAGACAGTGAAAACTGAGTTTTATTTATCTTTGTATTTATTCAAGCACTTAGACTGGGCAAAATGAGGCTTAAAACTGGTTCATTCATGAGAATTCCCTGGCGGTCCAGTGGTTAGAACTCTGCGATCTCATTGCCGAGGGCTCGGGTTCGATCCCAGGGGAACTAAAATCCCATAAGCTGTGCGGTGCAGCCAAAAAAACCAAAAACCAAAAAATCTCAAGACGAAAAACAACAAAAAAACTGGTTCAATCATGAAATAATACAGTTAAGAATCCCAGAAGGGCAGATAAACTAAAAGGATTTGATAGCTGAGTCTAATCACCTGGGGCCTCCCAAGATCTCTTCTGGTTTTCTTTCATTCAGCAAACTTGTAGAGCAGCTACCAGGTGTTCTGCCTGATGCTGAGCTCTGGAAATAACTGCAATGAACACAACACCTTCCTTTTCTCCCACTCAAAGAGCTCATGAGCTGGTTGGAAGGAGAACTCATGCAAAGTGACAGGCTCGTAGTTACATGCTGCTAAAGAGGTTAGGAGGAGTAAGAGACAAATTCTTCCTGGGAAATTGAAGGAGTATGTGAGGGTAGGGGGAGAGGGGGCGAACAGAAATGTATTCTTGTGTATTCTCAGGGAGGTGACCTTTGAACCCAGCCTTGATTGATGAGCAAGATTTCATCAGCCAGGGGCTTCCCTGGTGGCACAGTGGTTGAGAGTCCGCCTGCCGATGCAGGGGACACGGGTTCGTGCCCCGTTCCGGGAGGATCCCATATGCCACGGAGCGGCTGGCCCCGTGAGCCATGGCCGCTGGGCCTGCGCGTCCGGAGCCTGTGCTCCGCAATGGGAGAGGCCACAACAGTGAGAGGCCCACGTACCGCAAACAAAAAAAAAAAAAAAAAAAATATATATATATATATATATTTCATCAGCCAGGAATTGACATGATGTGGGAATCAGCACAGGGAATGTGTATCATGGGGAGAGACTAGCTGGAGATCAGGGTGATAAAGTGGGCCTGGGCCCAATGGCAAACAGTCACCTATAAAAGTGGAGCGACGTATCTTTTGATTGACATGTCCTATACTTTTGGTCTCAACAGGGTCCAGATTTCGATGATCACTTACATAGCCACCCTACTTATAGGATGGTTCATTTTGCCCCTTTTCTTCTTTAGTCCACATCAAAATCTTTTATTATGCCCTGATCCCCATCTTGCTCGTATCAGTCGGAGAGCTCAGTTTTTAGAGCCTGGAGGGCTATTCCAGGGAATGAACTGAGACCATCAGAAATGGGCATTCGGTTTCTGTTGAAAGGATCCTCCTGGGCCAGCAGAACTGAGCAAATCTGAAAGTGGGCCTGGCTGAGACAAGAGTCCTGTCCCACGCCAGAAACATTATCAGCACCCTCCCAGTTAGAATTTGCGACCCTCATGCATTTTCCCATAATGCTTTCTTTGAAGCTCTATGACATTTTTACAATGGGTAATTTATGTTTTTTTTGGGTATCTTACCCACTCAGCTGTGAGCCCCAATCACACAACTTTGTGTACCCAGTCGCACACTGTGATAGCTCACTGTGACATGCCAGATGTGAGGCATTGTACCAAGGTATTTCTCTGCATTGTCTCATTTAATCCTTGCAACAGTTTATGACATCAGTCTTATGATTATCCCCACTTTATAGATGAGATTAGTTCTCAGAGAGGTGAGACAATTTTCTCGTAATCACAGAGCTAGTTAGCAGCTGTGCTGGGAGTTGAGCCCAGTTTGTCAGATTTGATTCTGGTATCCCACTCTTAAAGCAGTGGCAAATAAGATCCCAAAGTGTTAGTGTCATCAATTTCAAATTTAGAAAGGCCAGGCTGTTCCAAGGTGCTTTGCATCCATTAGCTCATTTAATCTTCTCAAGTAACCTGGGAATTTAACATGCTAACTCCATTTTATAGAGGACCAAACTGAGGCACAAGGGATTTCCAGAGGCCCATATTTGACCCAGACCAAGCCCATAGCTTTACTACTGTGCTAAGCCAAGAATTAAATGAAGTAATCTTTGCAAAGAATGAATTCTAAATCTGTAGTAGGCACTAGCCATTATTATTCTTATTATTTGTCACGTGACTGTGGGCAAGTCAACCTCTCTGAGCCTCAATTTCCTCATCCATAGCATAAGAACTACTTACCTACCTTAAGTTCTGTGGAAAACAGAAAAAGTCTCTACAAATGGTAGTGACCACAAGTCTGGAGAAGGCTCAGGAGAGCCACTAGTCGGTCAGTTCTTAGCTCACAGTTGGCTCCAATGTGCCCGTATCAGACCAGTAGGAGAAATGATCTCAAACATCTAGAGTTATTTGGATTTCAACTGCCTCTTCCTCTCAGGACTCAGAGTTTGCACTATCTCATCAATATCCTGATATATTCCAATTTGTAGCCAGAGTAGATGAAACACCAAGAAGAAAAATGACTCACTTAGGTCACTCAGGTCATGGAAATGGGGTCTTGTCAACCCTGTGAGGCCACACTTGCCGGCTCCCTAGGGTCTCTCCACATACCTTTGGAATTGGCTCTAAAATTCACACATGGGGGGCCCATTTGGGCTAGGTCCTGCATGCCTTGTGGTTCCAAGGTTAGGGTTTAATGTGACACCCTGTTTGTCCTTGCGACAACTACTGACCCACACTCTGGGCTTAAATTGCGATGAGGCTTGTGTTCTAGGAACGTTGCAAAACTGAACACTGGTCCCAAGTGGTCCCAGTCTTGGGTTAAAGAATGAAAATGTACTCTGGTGTACTTGAGAGAAACAGGATCTCCAAAGGGAAAACTCTTCCATTGGGGGTGACGACTCTAGTTTTCCAAAGCTAAGTTTCATGGAACATAGAATGAAATGGAAGAGTGGAAGAGTTTTCCCTTGACTTTCCAGTGTTTTGACTGTGATCATATCTTGATAGTTTGTATCACATCTTACATTGTGATCCCATATAAAACTGTGATCCCATATAAACCATACAAAACTGACATTTTTTGATGAATCAGAAATGATTGGAGGAAATTCCCTGGCAGTCCAGTGGTTAGTGGTTACAACTCCACGCTTTCACTGCTGAGGGCCTGGGTTCAATCCCTGGTTGGGGAACTAAGATCCTGCAAGCTGCGTGGCGTGGCCAAAAAAAAAAAATAAATAAATAAAAAAGATTGGATATGGGCAATTTTATGTGATTAACCTATTTCACAAAATAATTATTATAGCTGTTTCATGCAATGTACTGTTTTCTGTCATTAAAAAAAATTTGCTGATTACAACTTAATTCATTTCATCATCCACAAGTAGGTCAGGTCCTATTTGGAAAACAAAAAACAAAAAGACCCTCTGAGTTAAACCAAGCCCAAGAGGAAACTTTTTGGGTTCAAGGCAATGATTCTGGGAAAACAAATGGACAGAATGAATTTTATAACAGTTACAAAAAAAAAAAAATTCTAACTTCAAAGCTACATAATATGTCCTGGGGTCGATGCTGATTCTATCTCCCCTGTTCGCCCACCTCCCCAGCAAAGAACACCAGGAATAGAGCTGTATTTGAACAAAGTTGGGTTTATTGGCTTCTTGCAACAAGGGAGGTGCCCAACATGGGAGCACACCAAGGAGAATGGGGTGCCTCTCAGAAAGAGGGCGTTAGGGAGAGGTTGCTACAGGACTTGAGCTTGGGCTAGGTGATTTGGAGGCGGGCTTGAGGAAGTACAGTTTAGTCCTGGTACCTTCAGGAAGTGGGGCCAGTTCTATGATTTGGTATCTTACATCTTTTTACCTAGGCAGTAGAAGAAACAGAAGGGGCTAGAGCTCTGACTAGCAATGATGCAGCAGTCCTGTTTTGTTAAAGTCGAGACAGAATTCTTGTCATTCTGTATGCATTCAGATCGAGCTGGGCTCTAAGTGGTTTCTGTGGCCCCATAGGCCCTCTGTTCCTCTGTCAGGATGCCTTCCTGCAGTCTCCTGTAACCCCCTTTCTTATAGAACTTTTAGCCACAGCTTACCCCCAGAGCAAGAGCCACCAAGGCCACCATGGCACCCACCCGGGAGCCAACAATGGCCCCAACGCTGGGTCCCAAGCCAGCCTGGCTCAAGGGCTTGGCTGACAGGGATGGGTCATCAATATTGGCCTGCTGCCAGTAGTCAGAGCCTTGCAGCCTCACCCAGACCCGCTGACCACTGGAGTCAACCAGGACAGAGAGCCTGTGGGTGCTGCTTCTGTTAAGCAAGGGGGGGCGGGGAATAAATGGGGGCATCTGAACAGCTGTCTGCTGCTGGTCCAAGAGGACCCCAGCCCTGAGGCAGTAGAGGCTTTGGCAGCCATGGCTGAGGTAAGCCTGGTGTTGGCTGTACCCTGCTGGGCATTTCATGGGGAAATCCGTGGGGCTGTCCTGGTAGAACACCTCCTTCATGAGCCCAGGGCTCTGGCCCTTCACAAGGCCAGCCAAGGGGTTGCCCGCCTGGCAGCTGAAGAAACCCCCAAAGGGGACTGCCTGGGCTGTACCCAGCTCTGAGTCGCCACTGACACAGACCTTGAGGTCGCCAAAGAGTGTCAGTGGGTAGAAGTGGGAGGGGCAAGCCTGGGACCCAGTGACTGGGTTTGGGTTGCCAGGGCTATACAGGCCTCCAAAGAGGAGGCCCTCAGTGTAGGGCAGGGAGGCCCCAGAGGGCGCGCACCAGGAGGCAGCAAGGCGCACGGCATTCCGATGCTCATGGGTGGCACACGCTGTCCAGCAGCATCGGAAGAAGAGCCAGCACCTTCGGCAGTGCTGCCGGCACTCAGGACTGGCCTCGCTCCACGTCTTCAGCCCCTTGCTCAGGGTGCTGGCCGTGTAGTTGGCCGGGCAAGAGGCTTTGCCGGTGAGCGGGTTCGGGATGTGATAGGCCCGGCAGAGGTGATCGGCATGCCGCCCGGACACGGCCTCGCATTCCTGGAAGACACCGCCGAAGCTGAAGTTGGCGCGGCAGCGGCCTCCGCAAGAACCATCATCCACATTGGCCTGGGGGTCGAAGACGTGAGCCCCAAGCTTCAAGCATCCGGGACGCGTGTTGACCGCGTAGCAGCGGTGGATGGCCCAGCGCACGCGCGGCCGCCACCCGGCGCACGCGCGGCCGCCACCCGGGCCTCTGGGAGCTCGGGCAGCGCCTCCAGCTGGAGCAGCACCGGCAGGGGCGGGCCCGACCTACTGATGGCAGCCAGCCGGTTGCCGATGCCCTCCTGCCACTTCTGTAGGGTGATGCCCGGGTAGAAGGGCACGCCACCGTGGCTGTGCATCTTGGAGGCCACCGGGTTCCGCCCGAGGTTCTGGAGAAGCCGGCTCTGCACCTGCAGGAAACCCCATCCCCAGCGTTGACCGCGTGGAAGAACAAGGCCGAGGCAGCGTACGTGATGTTGATCTTGTCTCGGGCTTCGCTGTCCACCAGCTCCCGCCTCACCTGGTACTGCTGCACCAAGGCAGCCCTGGCCTCCACGTCGGTGAGAACGTGCGTGCCGTACCTAAGCACAAGCATCTCTGCCAGGTATTCGGCCTCCCGGGTCTGGTTGTTCTCCAGGTGATCGCTGAGGGTCAGCAGATGTCGCAGAAAGTCGGGCTGGAAGTCGGGGTTCTCCGGGGCCTTCACAGAGTAGATGCCGTGGTGGATCTGCACCCTGGTCGTGACCGTCTGGTACTCCAGGCTGTACTTCCTGACGTTCTGGCAGTCCACAGAGAACTTACCATTGAGGTCGGGGAGGAAGGAGAGCTCAGCGTTGATGGAGGCGGCCCAGGTGTCAGTGTAGTTGACCCAGTGGTCGATGAGCTCCGTGCGGGTCTCCACTATACTCTCCCGCCGCGGGACCACCTGCACGCGGTCTGGGATGAGGTACTCGCCGTCCTCGGTGGTGAGGCACTGCGAATAGTCTCTCCTGAGCACCAGCCCCAGCTCGACGTTGCGCAGGTTGTCCCAGCCACCTCCTGGCAGCGCCCCCAGCACGGACATATTCAGGGTCTGCCTGCAGCCTTGGAAGCCCGGCGCCCTCTGTTCCCCCATCACACCGCACCCGGCCAAGAGGAGGACCAGCAAGGGCGCAAGGTAAGGCACAGGGCCATGGCTGGAGGAGAGCTTCTCCTGGGCAGCCCGCTGCGCCTTAGCTCCTCCAGGGTTGGGGTCGCAGAGGGGGAATTCTCAGCCTGGGAGCTGATGCTAAGTAAGCCTCAAGGCAGTGACTCAGCCCACCTCAAGCCCCTCCCAGGTTCCTCTCCTTGAAGTCTTCAGAGGAGAGAATAGCAGGCAGGTCTCCTATCAGAAGCACCAAGGGGAGTGAAACTAATTCCAGGCTTTGGGTCCAGGAAGGGTAAATTAGAGTGGCGAATTGCCCGAAGGCCCTCTTGAATTCATCTCTGTGAAGAAAATCCAGCCTCATCTGTTGAATACCTGGTATTTCAGTCTCCAACTCTCTCTTGGCCACTGGACGCAGTTAGGGTCCTATTATTCCAAGTGTCAAGTTCAGCCTCGGTGAGGAAGTAGCCCAGGAAAACGGGGCCTTTCCCCAGTTGACCTGTGGGCACTGTGTCTAGGAGGTCACATTCGCTCCAGGCTGATTTCCTTGTGGACCTTCAGCAGATATTACAGAAAAGAGCCCCTTTCTGGACTAGAGCAGGTTCAGGGCAGCTCTAAAAAAAAAAAAAAAAAAAACCAAGTATGGCTGTGCCAGTGATCCACAGCCCTGACATAAGGGCAAGACAGAGCTTCTCAAGGGGGCTTAGCACACTTCACAAACATTCCAGGGCCCAAGAATTTTTCTCCTCTTCCATCTGCTTGGAGCTCTCTAGGGCCCCTGTCCCCCTGCGATCAGCAGCTGGTCTAAATGACACCCTGAGCTAGTGCTTTATAATCCCATTCTAAGATCTCACCAGTCTCCTTTTACACATTAGGAAACAGGCCCAGATAAGTCAGGGAAAGTACCCAGGGTCACAGTTAGGTACCCAGGAGAGGCAGCATTCGAATCCAGGTTCATCTGATGCCAAAGCACAGTTTCCATCCACTGATCTGGGCTCAGGGCTTCTTCTTCCTATTCAGTGTCAGGGTCTTCTTGATTTTTGTCTCTCCTAGGGCTTTTGGGGTTCAAGAAGGCTCCTGGGGGTTTCCCTGGTGGCGCAGTGGTTGAGAGTCCGCCTGCCGATGCAGGGGACACGGGTTCGTGCCCCAGTCCGGGAAGATCCCACATGCCGCGGAGTGGCTGGGCCCGTGAGCCATGGCCGCTGAGCCTGCGCGTCCGGAGCCTGTGCTCCGCAACGGGAGAGGCCACAACAGTGAGAGGCCCGCGTACCGCAAAAAAAAAAAAAAAAAAAAAGAAGGCTCCTGGAAAGGGCATGTGGGATCACCGAACCCTGTGGTATCACTCCTGGTTACACCTGTTTGCAGTGGTGTGGTTGGGGCAGAGGTCTTTTCTCCCCATCGTGTATGGGAGAGACAGTACTTTCTGGAAGAATAGGTACTGGCCTTGACATCTCAAGATCTGAATTGGAGTCTGGGCTCCGTCATCGCAGCAGCTGAGCCCTCCCACTAGCATGGCTTTCTTCTCTGAGCCCCACTTCCCTCCTCTGTTACATGATGAAAGCAATACAAAGCTCTTCAGGCTTGAGCTATTGGATGTGAGATGCCCAGCAACTTGCCTGGCACAAAATAGGGTGTTCATTCAGTGAAATGGGTTAAGTGACTTGTTTAAGGTCTGAATTCACACCCAAGTTGGTCTGAATCCAAAGTCTAGTGCTCTTTCTACCACTGTGTGGTTCCCTCTGATCTCTATGTTTGCAATTCTTTGATCAAAAAGTTTCATTTATTTATCCTAAGGTAGTTTAGGATGGAGAATTTGCTAGAGAAGCAAATTCCCGTTCTCTGGGAAAGCAATAAAGCTTCCCACCCCCCCTCGGTGTATCTTCCTATGACAGGGACAAGTAATCACACTGCTTTCCCACGTTCTGCGCTTGTGACTTAGGAACAAACACCTCAAGTCATAAATTCAAAGCAACTGGAAATGTATCACGTTGGGTGATAGCTCTTTCCCAGGACCTTGGGCAGGTTTGTGGATGTTTTATGGCAGTGGATACAAGAGAAGATAAGCATGCTTTGGTTGAATGGTGGCTAAGCCTTTGCTGACGTGGATCAGATGCCAGCAAGAGGAGGGCAAGGAAAATCGTGACGATGTTTTGTTACCAGCCCTGGGCAGCCCTGGCTGAGACCCGGGGACTAAGAGGGTCAAACGGTGCTCAGCACTCACATCCCCCGGTTGTTCAGAGGCAGTGTAAGGAACACACAGGCAGGACAGCCTTGAGTCAGATGTCAAGGCCCCCGCGGGACCAGGGATAAAAAGTGTGACTTCCTGCAAAACAGGAACAAATAGGACTTTTCTAGCTATTCACTTTTAAAAATCACAACAAATGATTGTTATGGAAAATGAAGAGTCAAGAGATTAGATAAAGTGAAAAGGTCCTCCTTCACCCAGTTCTATTCCCCACAAATAACCACTGTGATCAGGTGGGTATATATCCTTCCAGACATGTCTCCTTGTGTGAACCCAGGCTCATGGACACATACTGTTTTCTTTTGTGAAAGTGGTACCAGGCCGTATGTTGATTTTACTGTGGAGAAATGGATTCCCAGGGAACGTGTGGTGCGCAAGGACTGTAGCAGGGCCAGATCTGAGTCCCTGTGTCCTGACAACCAGGCTCAGTCCAGGCCCCACCCTGCTTCACAGCCTGAGGCAGTGCCAATTCCAGTTGAGAGTCCTAGGGGACACACATGCAATTACCCTGGCAGATAGGCAGAGAAAATAGTCCAAATATTTAACACCCTGCAAGTTGGCGGTGAAGCCAGTCAGAACTGACGCTAGCTGCAAGTGGCCTTCCTGGGGTTACTGGCTAAATATTGGCCCCTGCACGTAGGGGTCTTATGGTCGAAACCAAGTTTGTGTGCCCGACACCAGTGAGGAATTTGGAGCACAGGAAGGTTTATTGCAGGACGCCAAACAAGGAGAATGGGCAGTGAGCTGCTCAAAAGACCTGAACTCCCCAATAGTCTTGGGGGAAGAATTAAAGGCAGAATTTGGAATGAGGGCTTCAGGTTGTGTGACTTTCTTCTGATTGGTTGGTGGTGAAGTAACAGGGCGATGTCTCCGGAGTCTCAACCTTCTGGTTCCAGCTAGTCTGGGGTCTACATGCTTGCGGTCAGCAGGTGGTCGCTATCATCCACCTGGGTGGGTGGATCTTAGCTTCTGTAGAACTGAGAGGTGTGTATCAGATTGTTATCTATAGCCTTTCAGAAGGAACTAGGAGTCTTGTGACTGTATTAGCCTATTAACTGCTGAGCCTGCTCTTTGGAACTTGGGGAAGGCCTAGAAGACTCAAAACTTGTTTTTTTTTTTTTCCTACAAACAAGAAACAGGGGACATTGAGGGGCTTTTGTACCCAGGAGAGCTCCAGAGTCCTGTTTGATTTCAGTCTCATTCCACACCCTACTTGTTTCTAGACGCTTATCTGAGGAGGGAATACATGAATGAATGAATGGATGAATGAGGATGCAAAGTGGTCCTAAATAACAACACAGAGGAAGAAACTCCTTTCAATAGAATCACAACATTATTAACTGCAGTATTATCTGTGTATATATTTTTCAAATCAGGACAAGGACCAAGTAATCATGCTGCTTGAAAAAACTCATACTGCTTGTCAAAGGGAAAGAGGCAATAATGATAAAGAGGTAGCGGGGGAAGTTAGCTGGAGTTTGGCGGAACTGGAACTGGGATAGAGCGTGGCACTTAGTGGCTCTGGGATCTTCGATGAGTGACTTAATCTCCTTGAACTTCTTTTCTGTAAACATCTGTGAATGTGAGGGGGAGGAGAGGAACACGGTGATTTAACCAAGACTATGCCAATTAAGGGCGAGATAGGCTGAAAAGTCTGGGGGACTTTTAGTCTGGTGTGTTTATAGTTCAACGTCAGGGGCAGCCCAGGGGTCCTAAATTCCAGTCTTAAGGACTCAGTCATCCTGAATTCAAGTTGATGGGGATTCTGGGTTAAACTTCTAAGTGACTCTTACTGCCTCTGTGTGGAAACCCACCCTCACTCTGCCATCGACGCCCAAGAGTCATCTGACCAAGGGACTTGTAGGATAAAGAAACTTCCAGTCCCCACTCCTCCCCTCCTTCCAAAGACACCTGGGAATCCTTGCTTCCTGCACAACCCCTGCCTTTCCTGTGATACTTTTCCTCGTGGATTTTTCCTGGGTCTGCCTCACCTGGCGATGGATACACGTATTCTCTGCAACTTAGCTTGGAGAAGATCCAGAATCATCAAAGAGATGAGGAAAACTGGCAGTGGATACAGAATCTAGAAAAACCCTGACCAGCGTCACTGAATTAACCTGTGTTTATACCATCGTTATATCTTAACCTACAGTGCTTCATGGCTTTGTAGAGGAGGAAAAATAATTTCCCTCCACCTTTCTGAGTTCTTGACTGAGACCCCCTGTAATAAAAGACAGATTAACAAGAGAAAACCAGGTTTATAATATGTCTACCTCATGTATACCTGGGAGATACCCAGGGGGAAATGAATAGCTCAGAGAGGTTGGCTTTAGAATTTAGGCTTAAATATCCTTTTAATAGGAAAAGAAGAGGTGGCCACAAAGGCCTCTTAAGGGAGAACAAGTGACTTTTAGGAAAGATGAATGGGTCCTTAGAAGACAGATGGGAGGTGTGACTGTGATAAAGTTCGTCTGGTTCTGGTGTTGACCTGTAGTCTCCTCTCCTGTGTTGAGTAGTATATCTTCCCTGGATGATTAACTCCTGGGGAGGGGGGTTTATGACAACTGAGTTCCTTTTGGAAGATTTCTCTTTAGACAGATAAGGAAAGTTCAGAGAAAGCCTCTTCCTGCATTTGCTGTTTTCCAAATGCCTTTAGCTTGAAATAAGCAATATACCAAAGCAGCATATTTGGGGACAGTCCGCCCTGCTACCCGTCAGCTTATAGCATTGATTCCCAATGAAGCCT